AAGAAGCATAGCTCGAAAACAAGCCCATGGGCTTCCTTTCAAAGTAGCATAAGCTACTTTTCGAGATAGTACAGTATATACACTGTACATGAATTAAAAAAAATAAATTAAAAACAAATTTGTTTTATACAGTAGTTTAGTTGATTTCATGTTAGTTAAATACACTCCATGATACAGATTGATGTTACAGTGGCCGTATTTATTGTTTTATTGGACAAATGCACAAAATATACAGCATTCATTTTGAAAAGAAGCCCCCTCTTTACTTTGCAAAAGTAACCTCGAAAAGAAGCCTATCTTGAAAAGAAGCCCATCTAAAGTTCGCAAAAAAAAAGTTCGCCAAAAAAAAAAAAAAAAAAAAAGCCCAGATCTTTAATTGGAGGTTTTACGGTATTTCGATATTATGTTTGCGTCAGGAAAATGTCATGTTAGTGATGTTTTGCAAGTTCGGTGGTCTAGTGGTTATGATACCAGGCTAGTTATCTGGAGGTACTTAACTGACGTGCTATCGTACTGAACACTCACTACGTTCCCAAATACTTGCGGCAAAAACTTCGAAAGTAATTTGGGTGGGAATCGAACCCACGACCTCCAGAAATCTAGCCTGCGAGGTGAGGGAGGGGCAGCGGCCTCAAAGGACCCCAGTGGGGGTTAAGGGGAAAAATCCCCGGAAGCTACATATTCGACGAATTTTGGTGAATTTTATTAGTTATTTTATAGACACCAAACTAATGTAATATGACTTAATAATTGTTGTGATGTCCGAACAAAGTCGAAGCCGAGATTGTTTCCACGATCACAATGAATTATACAAAGCATCATGATGATATCCTAGATGAAATGGTAACACAAATATCTTAATGGGGAAGTAATGATAGGCCTAAACGAAGATTAAGCCTCTGATATTATTATTATTATTATTATTATTATTATTATTATTATTATTATTATCAATATTATTATCAATATTATTATCAATATTAGTATTAATCTGTTTGTTTACGCGTATATAATTAGTATAATTTTAATTGTATAATTGTGATAATTAGTATAATTGGTAAATGTGGGATCAGTATGATAATTATATGTTGACGGTTGTTAATTAGTATACTGTATACACGTACTAATTACCGTCACCAACTATCAGCAACGCTTGATAATTAATATGATCCAGACTAGTTTTAGGGTTAGTATCTACTGATGACGTAGATGGGGGAATATGCAGTTATTATAATCAATTATTGATGTAAATTAAGAACATAATCATAACAGGATGCTAACACCACTGTAAAAAAAAACATATATCGTAATACTTATTTCTTTTACTTTATTTTCCATTATATTATTTGCAATACAATCACTGCAAGAGTTACACTCCACAGATAGTTATCTAAGTTTTTTCATGTATTTTTCGAAGCAAATTTACCTGCGAAACAGTAAATATACCGTAACCTAATTTTAATGAAAATGAATAATCAAAAACAAACACTAATATTTAAAAAGAATATTGCAAACAATGGAATTATTAGAAAAGTAAATGAAATACAAATTTTAAAAATGTAAAAAAAGCATACTTTTTCCTAGGTCTTCATGAAAGACACTTCTAATAAGTAAAAAGGATGTAACTGCTATGAACACCGACTACTCTACTCACCCAAAACACCGCTGATTTGGCATTCTATATTAATTGATCTGTCTAGATAAACCCAATACCCTTTATCAAAACTCAAAAACATCATTTGATATTTGTTCCCTTTTGTTAATAAACATGTTCTATTCATTCTTCCCAATTCATCAAACTTGTTACTCCACATTAGTTTTTTCCTTTTGTGCTCCTAAATTCTGGAAATCCATGACCCCAAAATAATAAATGATTGGATAAAAAAGTACAGTACTGAAACATTAATTAAAATGCATATTCAAAAAGTCAATTAGATAAAAATACAAGAACACCAAAATCATCGAAAAATATGTTATTGCAAAATGCTCATAAATATTAAAGGTTCAAAAGCGCGCATATCACATTATTCTGGCACGTGAGTATGATTCGTACGAGAGTGCCCTGGCAGTGATTTTTTTTCCCGTACGGAACATTTGCATGAAACTTCACTCGGACCTCCTCGGAATGACTCGACTCGAGTTCAATATGATAACATGAATTACATAAAAACTATTATTCAATAATATTGTTTACAGAAACTTAAATTTGAATTATATTAAAGTAGCTGTTAAAAAATTTAAAAAAAACAATATAACAACTTAAAAAGATAAAAATGTGTAGGCCCTATCTCTCATCCTGGAATTAATAATCTTATTAATAGGTCCATGCTGGAATATTCAAATACAGTATTTATTTTTAGATCGTTACTTAAAGGGTGCGTGTTCACGTTCTGGCGAGTGGTGACCATGCCATCGAGTTAAAATACCATGTAAACATAAAACGAACAATAATAGTAATACTCGAGAGTCACAGCTTCGCCAAGTGCCTGCTCTTGTTCCTTATAATTTAAACTTGGAATCGCACTCACGTGCAGAATAATGCGACATGCGCGTTTTTGGACCCTCTCAAGTCGACGGATCTGTGCTCCAGATAGTCCACTGTTCCAAACAGGCGTAGCATATTCGAGGGTTGGGCGAATATGGACAAAAGTCGTCAGATGATGATGATGGTGATGATGATGTGATAATGATGATTAGGAGGAGGACTGATTGTGCACAGCGTTTTTTTCATGAGAAAAAACATCAAGAAGAATAATTGTTATGGTGTAAGAGTGGGACAATTTAACACTCCTGTGTGGACGCAACATATTTCAACCTAATTTAACACCACAACAAATATTGTTTATTACTGTTAATGTTGTTTCGCTCATAGATATATACAGAGGTATGTTATAAGAAATAAGTTTGTTTCGTTGACAGCTTTTCAGTGCTGGGTTTTGACATTTTGAATGGTTTCACTTGGTTCATCGTTTTTCCCACTATGAATCAAAGTACCGTACGTCTTCGTCATTTGGTGTCACCGGTAGCTGGTGAAAAATACTTTCTACATCTGCCATCAAGGCTATATGTTCTTGTCTAAATCTGAGTAAGATATCGATCAGTATCTAATTATGTAGGCAAACCTGTATGTAAAAATCTCTTCATTATATTATACCGGTAACTAAAATAAGTGTAGGCGAATTGCTGGGCGGATGCAGGATTTGGCGGTAGGGGGTGCGTGCAAGGGTGCAGATCTGTTTTGAAAAGTTGGGGGACATTTCGTGGAAATAGGACCTGTAGATGACCGGAAATGACACTTTTATATAGTAAATTTCATCATTATCACATCACCATTATATATATAAAATGAAACGCCAACAAATTCTCATGATCTTTTATCAACGATTTTCGGCCACCACAGAGACATAATTAATGTGTGTGATATACCATAATAGAATATAAAACTTAAAAACATTGTCTTTAAAGTGTATTAACTTTACATACTTCAAAGCCTTGAGTCCACAACCACGCCAGTCACACCATGGTCGGAGCTGAGGTGATAAAATTGAGGATGTAGTACCTTTAGATGGCCGAAAATGACACTTTTATATAGTAAAATTCATCATATCACATCACCATTATATAGTCTAAATGAAGTGCCAGCAAATTTCTTATGATCTTTTATCAGGGGTTTTTGGCAACCACAGAGATCTAATTAATATGAGTGACGTACCATAGAAAATAAAACTAAAGAAACACTATCTTTGATGTATGTAATTTACTTGACCTACTGTACCTCAAAGTCGTAAGGCCACATCCACCTCAGCCCCACGATGGTATACGGGTTGAGGTGACACAATTTGAGGAAATAGTAACTCTAGATGGCCGGAAATGACACTTTTAAATAGTAAAATTTATCAACATTACATCACCATTACAGTCAAAATGAAGCGCCAACAAATTCTCATGATTTTTTATCATCTATTTTCGGCAACCATGAGATCTAAGTAATATGTTTGATGTACGGTACTATAGAAAATATAACTTAGAAAAAACATTGTCTTTGATGTATTTACTTTACGTACTTCAAAACCGCGAGTCCACACCCATATCAGTCCACCATAAGTTGGGGCTGACGTGGTAAAATTTGGGGAAATACTACCTCTAGATTGCCGGATACGACACTCTTATAGTAAAATTCATCATCATCGATCTAATTAATCGCTGTAATGTACCATAGGAAATAAAACAGGGGTGGCGCCACGATTTGCCCGACGGGGGGGGGGGCGAGGTCCCCGACGGGGGGGTTTCCCCCGACGAGGTGTCAGATTTCCCCGACGAAAGCAAAGTGGGCGTGGTCGAGCTCCGAAAGTGGTCCTGGGGGCGAAGACCCTGATAATTTAGGGGTTTCAAAGGCTTATTTAATCTATTCTAGAGTCTACTAATATGTAAAAAATACATATATATTTTTTCTCCCCAACGAATAATGCTTTTTCTCCCCAACGGGGGCACTGCCCCCCGGCCCCGCTGGCGCCACTCCTGAAATAAAATTTAATTGTCTTTTAAATTTAATTATTTACTTTACTTTACTACTTCAT